ATTAGTCTGCAGTAAGACTCCTACACGATACTACAACTAAACAAAGAGGAACGGGCCACTTTATCTTTCTGTCATCCCTTTCACTGCTTATACTTTTGGAGTGGGTTCTATATTTTAAGTCATTTGTTTTTGAAGGCAGGAGGGACTCTGTCAACAGAAACCAAGCAAAAAGGAAAAAAATGTCTAGTCTTAACAAAGAGGGCTAGTACTCTGCCAGCAAAATGGGTTTGAAAGGGAATGGATTATCACCCATTAAGAGAATGTTCTAATGCTTTATGTGAAAGGAAAGGAGTAAAATTTTTGTTATGTGATTCACCACAGCTACTATCAAAACACAGAGCAAGCTAGGGATGAAAAGACAAGGGATAAAGAGTGAGGAATGAGTATAGGAAGAAAATCTCAGAAGCAGAGGCAGGCAGAAGACAGGAAGGATGTGAAAGCAACAAGGGACGGAATAAGGGAGGTCAGGTTTACAAAAGGCATCTCCATTTCCAGTGGAGACCTATGTTTTCTGATTTACTTTCTCCCAAAGCCCAAACTAAATATGCAAAACCCCAAAATTTCTCAGGCTATACAGAAAGGAAAGGCAGAGGATAATCCCACAGGTGGCATATTTGTTTTGTGCAACTTTGTGTTCATCGCCACAAGGATTAGTGCATTAAAAATACATAGACTTGAGAGTGATGGTTTCACAGGAGAGGGAAGTGCCTCAGGGTTTGCTTCCGTTAAGTCAGTGGGAATGTTGCTATTTGCTTCAATGAAAACAGGACCAAGCCCTTATCTGACTGTCTTAAAATGTTACAAAACAGCAGGCTCTAATCAGTAACTGGGGCTCTAATCAGTAACTGAAGCCTCCAGGCTTGTCCTGAAGCTGCTTGTTCACCATGTCCTGTTATGTTCTGTGGAGGACTGAGGATCTTTATAAGGCCAGAGCAGGGTCTTTGCAAGGTGCATCCTTTTCTGGTGTCACTTCTGGTGCCTGATGATTCGCCTCATTTTCTCTTTCCTCTCTTACCTGGGTGCTCTGCTTCTACTTGGCTTCTCAAGCCGGTGACACCACTGGGGCTAGGTCAATGTCAGACAGACTTCCTAAGAATAGCAAATGAAATACTGAGGACTGTGAAGGTTGATACAAAACACTTGCCCAGCTTCCTTTTACATTTCTGTGTCTGTCTCTAGCTCTGTTTCTTCCTTTTAGCGCTTATTGTATTCAATTGCATTCACAGTTTTGACTTCTTTCGTGATACTTGGCTGTTACAGTGCTGCACACAGATGCCACAAACCAGTGCCTTCTCCATAAATATATTTCTCTAAATATATTCCCTTCAATACATGACCTTTTCATAAGCTTCAGTGCTTGTTTTCAAACCCATCCGCCTTCCCCATCTTGCAGCGTACAGCTCCGTGGTCTAACTCAAAAATGCGCATATCCATCTCCTCCTAATAGACATGAACCTAATGCTCTGAACCTCCCCTCCTGCCTCTGATCCTTCTCATGGTTTCTCACCCTTGCTATCCTTCACGCCTTCTTTGCTCTGTGTTGATGAAAGTTTGCTCTCAAGGGGAAAGAAGACCTTAGTTACAGATGCATGAAACACCAGGGATGTTCTAAAGAATCAGTGAGCCAAACCTCCATCCCTGTCCAGAGGAAATGGGATGTCATCTCACTTTCTGAAATAAGAAAGGCAGCCTTTTTGAGGCCCTAGATGAACTTACTGGTGTAGGGGCCTATGATACATTTTGCACTGAATCTTAGGAGTGGAAGATTGCTGAAAAAGCTGTTCTAATCCATCATCACCTGCGTTTTCAAGTCTTGTTTTACTGGATGTATAACCCCAAAGGGACAGGATAGCTGTCCCCTACTTATATATCTCCAGAGAAGAATGTGAGGACTCCTTGTGTTGACTAGCCCAAGAGCAGGCTAATAACCTGTCACATAGACATCAATGCAGTGATTGTCTGTATTGCTTGGTGTAGGATCAGTTCTTTCTTGACTGCCAGAGAGAGCATTATTACCTACTATTTAATTACAAGTACAAAGGGCAAAGGAAAGAAAGGGTTAGTGAAATGGCCTATTTTATTTTTCAGTAGCTCTCTTTAAACATCCCTAAGGATTTCTTACCTCCCATTAAAGTTTTAACTGAAAATGCTGATTGTAAGGAATTCAGTAGTGATAGAGGCAGAGAAAAGCAGACTGTTAAATACTTTTGCTGCAGTAAATCTCCAGACACTTGAAAGCTGGGAAGGAGAAAGGGTGTATGAAACAGGGGCTGCATATTTTAGTAGGACGACTGAAAATCCTGTATCAGGACTCAGCAAATACAAGATATATAATTTCTAAAGTGTTTTATTGCTCCATTCTTGCTAGTTGTACTTTGTCACTGTTCCTGTCTACGTGAAAACAAAAGACTTCCCCAATTCCTGCAGAGCCCTGCTTACTCTGCCCTCATCTTTCCCTCTAAGCATGTTGAATAAACTGCTCAGATGAATAACTAGATATTGCCCTACTCTTTTCTCCCAACCTAGCAGTCTTTTCCTCTCCAGCATTTTTTTCAGTGCTCTTTTTCATTCTCTCTGCTGACTCCATTTGCTTATGAGGATGAGGGGTCCAAAGCCACTTAAAGACCAGATCTACCCACATTCCTGCATTCAAGGCTGAGTGTTTGCTTTCTTTTTTTTTCTTTTAATTGAAAAGTGGTATCCACCTAAAAGAAGTAGAAATTAATCTGAGGAGATAGAAGTGAGTCTGCGCAGAGCAAAAGCCCACTAACCTATAACAGTTTTAGGGAGGCTAGGGAAACCTCTGAAATAGAAGTCATAGATGTGGAACAGATATCCCCTTTCCAAAGCATTTGTATGCATGTAGACAGAAGGAGGTGGAGGTCATGGAGGTCTGACCCCAGACCTCCTCTTAGCCAGAAATTGAGTTATGTGCTGTGCCTGGCAGTTTGTTTGCGCCCATCACTAAGGCTTCACTCAGTTGGGTGAATGATGCCCTTTCAGAAACTCACAGCTTGTGTCACTGATGCAGCTGAATGACAGACAGAACTGGGGCAAGCAGAAAGTTGGACACAAAGCAGCAAGTAGAAGGCGGCAAGGGATGAATTAGATTAATAAGATTAAGATCCTTCACTGAATATACCAGCCATTTGATTTTTCTCAATGCTTGTTAACATACAGAGGAAAGCAGCAACTACCTGGTTAGCACGGAGCAGGAAAAAAAGAGTAACCCATTCAGTTTTGCAGAGCACAAATACTATGTATTTCGTCTTTCTTTGTCCAAGAGCAGTTGATGTCTGTCTAGCATTTTCCATTAGAGAATCAGAAAGCATTCAGCGAGCTCTTCAGACCAATTACCATGCACAGAAGGTACTTACCTGCTGTTGTTAATGGATTACTTATGTTTGTAATGAGAGTGAAGGGCAATACAATATTACCAAGCCACCACTGTCCACCAACTATGGATACATGGCAATCTCTGCTATGAAGAAGCCCTTTGCTCCTGACTGAATGTTCCCATTGCAGGGGACGAAAGATTCCACTCTCCACAGCATGCCACCACCTTGGAAGGCAGATACGAGAAGCCTATTGCCCTGCAGTAGCTGGAGATGTAAATGATTTGAATTTGACTGAACAGTAGAGCCAACAGTCCCAATATTGAGAAAACCATCATGGGATTTTAACGATCACGAAGAGACAGAACCTCCATGGTGTACATTAGGTTAAAAAACACCTTCGATATCCATGTTCGAAGAGTTTAGTGTGAGCATTCCTATGTTTGATAAGGATTAATCCCCCAACTCAAGAAAATTAAAATGGACTAGAAATTCCCTGAAAGGCTACTTTTCCAGTAGTAGCTGGTCCCGTCCCTTTTCCCTCAGTAGCACTCCAAAGCTTTTCCTCAGGTGTGGCGTTCCACACATCCTCTGACACAGAACTAAATTAACAGCACATAACCCTGTTGCCTGGAGGTCCAAATGGTATGAAAGGTTGTATTCATTTGCACAGTGCCCAACCCTTGTTAATACTGCAACCTGATCTAGAGGCTGGCTTAAGGAGATGCCTGTTTTACTTAGCCCACAACCCTAAACCCCTCTCTGGCTCCTGACTCCACTGGAGTGCATGTCAGTGCCATGGAGGCTGTGTTGTAGAGAGAACAGAAATTCAGGACAATGAGGTAATAGTTATTGACTCTACTAGGTCCCAGAAATAGATGCATGCTTTCATAATGCATTCAGCATCTTCATTTCCAGGTACCTTTGTAGGGAGATCTGAAGGTGCTTAGAAGCCTTTGATTACAAACCGCAGACCATGCATGCAGATGGCAACACTCATCTCAGCCATAGCTCATTTTTCAAATGCTGTTTCCCTTGGACCACTCAGGTGCTTCAGGCTTAGTGATGGCAGGCTGGCAAGGAGATACTCAGAAGAAAATAAAATTCAAGCAAGGAAAGCCTAATGGCTGGTGTAGCCAGAGAGCTTAGCAAGGCTGCAAAGCAAAGCATCGCTTGGTGGGCACGTGCAAATACCCTGTGTTTGTAACAGCAGCAGTAAGATGGGATTTGCCTGTATCCAGCATCATATTCATGGATATTTCCATGTGAAATGGCCAAGTGACTCCAAGTAATGGACTGAACTATTTCAGTCACACGGTACTGTGTCCTCCTGCTAGGTGAGACAGCAATGCTTCCCCACTCAGGAAAAAACTGGGACCTTTCCCTTAGGTGCTTTATGCTCCCAGCCTCTTTATTTCTGTAGGTATCCCATACTAAACACTCTTCCTCTTCCTGCTCATTGTCTTCATCCCCCACACACCCCCACGCACGTGGCTCTGGATCTCCTCATCATGTTCTTCTCGTTAAAAACCCCATTGTTCATTTGTTTGTTTGTTCTCTCTCTTTCTCTCCTCTTTTTCTCTCTCTTTCCCTCTCGTTTTTTTTTTTTCCTTCTTTCTTTCTTTCTTTCTTTCTTTTTTTGTCTCCTCTGTTTTGTGTACCCAGGCAGCCCATTGAGTAACTTCTTTGACGTAATTAAACAACTTTTTTCAGACGAGAAGAACGGGCAGGTGAGCCATCCCCCCGGCACGCCAACCAAGCATAGCGCAAACAGCAAGCGGAGCGATTCCGGTTCTAATGACTATGGGTCTAGAGGAGACAATAAGTACCCTGCTGGCAAAGACAAGGCAAAGATGGTCTCATCAGTCGGCCTACAAGACCAACCTTAAATAAACACATAAAAAATTAAATAACTTAGGAAACAAAAACAAAAACAAAAACAAAACAAAACAAAAAGAAAAAAGCAAGAAAGAATGAAAGAATATTCCTTAGCAAGCTAGCCTCTAAACTAGAAGGATGTATATACCTTGCCACAACAGTACAAAACTGTCTATAGACAAATTTTGTATGAAGGAATGACTGTATATATATACATATATATATTTATATATGATATATAATATATATCTCAGAAACAAACACAAAAACAAACGAATGAAAGAATGAAAAGAAAAGAAAAGGTAGCACAGATGACAAACCCAGTTCACCAGATCTTGGGTTGTGGTTTTCTTCGATTGTTTTTTTTTCCTCCCTTTTTTTGAATGTTTTGCTTTTTTTCTCCTTCCTGATTTTTTGGGTTTTTTATTATTTTTTTTCGTTTTCTTTTGTTTTGTTTCTTGTTCTGTTCATGCTCTCTCTGTGTTTCTGACGACACCACTTGTTTCCGCTCTGCTACCAGGAATTATCCCGAAAAGTTAACATGTCAGCCACGGCTTCACCTTCTGTGCTCTGCGGACACTTGTTGACGGAAGGCAACCGATGTAGACTGTCCAAGGACCAGTCCTGTTTGAGGTTCCCAGCCTCCCCTCTCCCTTCAGGAAGTGGGCTTCTCCCCCACTTCTCCCCAAACACCTCCCCAGTGCACGCCTGGTTTTTTTTTCCCCCTCTCTTTTTCTTTTTTGGTGCTCCACGAGAGAGACCTGCTCAGTTGTGGGATTGCAGAGTCTGGGCTCAAAGGAGATTGCAAATTGCTGGAGTGAAATCTTTACCCTTGGCAACTTCTGTCCGCGCAGGTGAACGCAGCCCGGAGCGGGAGGGTGTGGGGAAGGAGACGGGTGTAGCGGGAGCGCAGTGTTCCATGAATCCAGAGCGCGTTCTCATCAGAAACCAGCCAGGAGCAACTCAAAACTAAGCGTTGAACCAAGACAATATTGGGGAGCTTCATCATGGGATTTTCTTACCTTTTTTTTTTCTCCCCACCACCTTTTCCTTTTCTTTTGCCCCCTTTTTTTATATATACATGTATATATGTGTGTATATTTATATATACATACATACATACATATATATATACGAAATAATTGATTTTTTTATACTGTATCATTTTGTTTTTTAACCTGCTGGAAGGGGAAAGGAGTAAACTTAGGAGGGAGAGGGGGTTCAATGAATAAACAAATACAAACAAAACATTAAAACTTAGGGAAAAGGCAACTTCTGGTAGCAAAGAAGAGGGACAAGACTCTGCCAAGGACTGTCTCTCCCATCACCAGGCACAGTTGCCGCTGCTGCTACTGCTGCTCCTCCTTCGACACCTTCCTCCCCACCTGTCAACTCCCTGCCACTGTGCCACCTTGCTGGGACCTTCTTCGACCAGCTGGATCCTCCACCACACCCTGCATTTAGAGGCAATTGTTGTGTTGCTAGTGCTGCATTGATATCAGTATTATTATTTCTTTAAGTTACCAGTTTCATTTGTTGGCTTGGGTGATTTTTTTCTTAAAAAAAAAGGAAAAAAGAAAAAAAAAAGAAAAAAAAAAAAGAAGATGAAGAGGAGGAAGAAAAGAGACTTATATTGGGTTTTCTTTCCTGTGTGTGTGTGTGTGCAAAATCACTGGCACTTAGTTCATCAGAGCAAGACAAGGTGGAGTCAGGGCAATGGGAGACTTAATCACGAAGCTACTGTAAACTTTAAAATTTACTGCAAGATATTTTTATAAAGTTTTTGTTTTGGTTTTGTTTTTTTTTTTGGAAGGGGAGGAGGGTGGGATTGGGTGGATGGGGACCTTTTTTTGTGTTTCAGTTATTAGGTCTTGGTTATTTATATATACATATATATATATTTAAAAAAATAAGCTGTTAGATATATCTTCTGTTTAATAACTGTGTAGAGGCAACATTGATTCTTATTTATTTTGGGGAGGAGGGGGAAAAAAGACACAGAAACCCTGTAAGTGTTCATTTTGTGACTTTGAGAAAGAAGAATTGCTGCCTTTTTTCCTCCTCCTCAAGATTTATGTGACCAAGTGTAACTTATTCTGGCCCAAGCTCAAAGGTTAAACAAACAAAAAAACGTGGTTTTACGCGTGGAAGACAAAACACAGTGAGAAGTACTTCTTGACTGAGATTTTAAGAATGTAGGCTTAGCATTAGTGTTCAGCTCTTTTATGACCTTCGATTGCTGCTCGTTGGGTTCCTATGGGTGTATGTTGTATCGCAAGATTATTTTTTTTAATGATAATGTTGGATGAGTTCTTTTTTGTTGTTGTTGTCGTTGTTGGTTTTTTTAATCATTTTTCCCCTTCTTGGACCAGTTTTACTTGTACATAGGTTTGAAGATTAAAAAGAATTTTTAAAGACACAACTGGGGCAAAGACCTTTGACTTCTGCCCCGTTTCCCCATTCCCCCAAATGGGAGGGATTTATTTTAATTTTTTTGCTTTATTTATTTATTTATTTTCCCTATTCTTAAACTTTTCTCTCTCGTATTGCTGTGTGCATGTCAGACACCAGGGGATGATGGCTGGGGAGGGGGGGAGGCAAGGGTGCAGGAGAGGGGGGCAGTTTTAATTGCATGACATTGCTGTAAATTAGTCTCTTTTGCTTTCGTTGTCTTTCCTGCCTCTGCCCTCTCTCTACTTCTCCTCCGAGCTCCCCTCCCATCACCCCCGTCCTTCTTTTCCCTCTTTTCTCTTCCCTTGTGTATAGATTTTGATGCTTCTGTTACATTGTACCTCTACAAAAGGCTGGGATTTCAATACAAGATAATAATAATAATTTAAAAATACCTATATCATCAAAACTCATGTGGTACAAGCAGGAAGGGGATTACTTACACAAGATATAAGAATAAATGAAAGCAATACCTCTTGTTATCCTTCCTATTTTGTACTTTGAAGACACACGCGCGCACACACACATATACAGACACAAACTGACATTATTTAATGGTTTAAAATGGACAAAAAAATCTGATGTATCCCTTGTTAAATAACTGTGAGCAACTTTAGTTCAAAAACCAATAAATTCATTCAGTAAAGATACAAACTGTTGAGTGTCCAGTTTATGTCCACGAAAACAAACTTCTCGCCAGTGCCAGACCCGGTAAGTACGGTGTCAAGGCTTTCTACACCAAAGGAGCTGAAGATGGCGGCTGAAATAAGGCAGCATCATCCTCCTGGCCACGGAACTAACACTGGCTCCTCGCAGCACCAGAGTCCATAGTGCTGTACCCAGCGTGCTCCGCCCTCACAGCACTGACATGCCATGAGCAGGTGAAGAGCAAGGACAGCTTAACCCTGTAGGCCTGGTTTTCCGCAGTAACGTGTTGAGAAAGATTAATGCAGATTTCAGAGCGATGACACCCCTTAGATCTGGTCTGGATGGAAACCACTGTACCAAATACTGTTGCTGCTTGTGATTATTCTCATCTCTAACCTGAGCTTCTCACGTTGCTTCCAGATTTAGCAATAGGAAGGATTTCTCCACCCTCCCTGCCTGAAACACTCTCAGTCACATACATTTGAAAAAGCTGATCAGGTACGTCCCTGGCTTCTGTGGGTCTGGGGTTTGTTGCTGGTTGGTTCGTCAGTCCATGTGGCTGCTGGCTCGTCACACGTCGCTCAGCTTTTGGGTGTTCCTTAATGCTGGATTTGTAACTGCACCTGGCAATTCGCCTCCTCGGCTCTGTCCTGGCTGGTGTGTGCCTGGGAGAAGTGGGTGCTTCCCACACGGCTGGGGAGAGCTTGGCAGGTCCAGGGTCTTGGCAGGTCTGCAGCACTGGCCCTGCAGACATCCTGGCCCTGCACTCACCGCATCCTGGCCACCTCTGGACGTGTCTGCTCTGGTGTTCCCCAACAGAGCTGCTCTGGCTGAGCCAGGCTGAGTCTCCTGTCCGTGGAGAGAGTGAGGGGAGGGTGCTGCCCACGAGGGAGGGAGGGCGGGCAGGAGGAGGCCTTCTGGAAAGTTCTGTGGTGCTACCCCAGCTGTGGAGATGCTCCTGCAAGGCAGGGTGAGGGCTGTGAGTGGGGCTGGGAAGCCCCTGCCCTGAGAGGCAGACCCCGGGCAGCTGCCACCCCTCAGGGCATGGTGTGATGTCCCTTTGCAGCCCCTGTGACAGCAAGAGGAGTAGTTTACCCCACTTTCCTCCCTATGGCTGTGGCCACCGCTAGAGGCTGTAGCTCATCTCTACCGGGTGCAGCTGGAGTTGCTCACCAGGGAGTTGTTTCCCAGGCCTCTCCCACTGGGCAGTCTTGTAATTAGCAGTGTGCAGGGAGGGTGTATGCACGGGTAGGAGAAGGTGCATCAGGGGTGCTGGAGTGCATCACAGTAGCTGTCACCTTTCAGGGGTGTCATGAGGATGGTTGTGACCTGTGACACCTTCCACAGACATGTGCATCAGCTTTGAAGCTTTTGAGGCAAGAATGGCAGAGGATGTGCCTCACAAGAACATCCCTGCTGCAGTAAAGACTCAGCAGGGTGCCAGACTCAGCTGTGGCAGACCAGTTCCTGTGAGGTTGTGGTTTTGGCAGGCAGTGTCTCTGGGACTTGATATTCGGGCTTGATATTCATGTTAGCACCTGCTGCAGTGATAGGGAATGAAGTCTTGCACCGCAGATGGCATCCCCTGTCCATGTAGGAGGGACACAGATGTGCTGGAGGTCCCAAAGGTGTTTGTGCTGGAGAGGCAGAGGGGAACAGGAGTGCAATCACTTGAATGTTGTGCATGTTATTCATACAAAATACACTCTTATCTCAGAAAAAGCTACAGTGTTTGTAAGGTCTTTGGGGGATTCACTGGTCTGCTAAAACTGAAGGGGAGTGGAGGAGCTGACAAAGATGGAAAGATGAGGAGAATCACAAGTGCTGCAGGATTTGGTCTCTGTAACACTGGAAACCCAGAAGTGGGAACAAGCTGTATCATTTGCATCTCTGAAAGCGAAAGAATGTGCTGGGCTGGCGTGTAATACAGGGGAAATGGGATTTAACGGCAGTGTGGCAGCAGCTGTATGCTGCTTCTTTATTTCACTCTCTGTTCTGTTTTCAGAAGTGTTCATAAACTTCTATGATCTTTTCATGTCTCCTGTAGTATTCACAGTTAGCATCCCCAGTATTGCCAATTATGGTCTTCAAAAGCTATAAGAAGAAAATGATTTTGCAATGTGAAAGACCTCATGCTTAGGGCCTGCCCACATTTATTCTGCCTTCTTGTTTGGCCATGTTACAACACAGACTCTAGCTACATGATGATGTATTACAGCTGTAGTGCATAGGAGGGACTGTGCTTCTGAGTGAATTGAGTTTATATTTAAACTGTTGTACATAAAATATCCTTCTTATTATATAGTTTAAATCTGAAGGCAGGTGATAAATGTAGCGGGGATTTTGGTATGCCTCTGTGACTGAGGTCGTTGGATTATCTCTGCTGCCAGGTGGGGGCTCTTGTCTTCATCCAAACCCAACACCAGGTGATGGCTGTTGAGATGCTGTGAGCTGTGACACCTGCCCTTCATTTTGCTGAGATTCTGAACTTTGCAGCTCTCTGGTTCGCTTAGAGAGCCCAGCTCCTTGGTCTTGGTACTGAAAAAAATTACTAGGTTTAAAATTCATCTGTCTTACTTCTTCTGGGTAAAACAGTGCAGCGTATGACCTTCCAGGTGTAAGCTGAAGACAAGGCAAGTGTGTAATATTCTAGTTGGCATTTTCTGTTTGTGTGTGTGCAAATGGCTGTTAACTTTGCATAGATAGGTGCATACATGAGAAATGTGTTTGTGCTTAAGGTGAACAGTTACTAATTGAGCCAGGACTTGAAATGTGCTATATAAGCAATAGATTGTTTATATGCACCAAATGAGCATATAAACAGCAAAGCTGAGTCCAGAGTCATGAGGATAAATCTCATTGCCACATGCAGGCATACAGTCTGGGAGCTGAGAAAGAAGTTAGTTTTGTTGGAGAGTGCTAATGCAAATTGTCGAAGCCTTGCAAACGATGCATGAAAATTTCCTCAGTAGTCAGGCTGGCTTTAGTGAAAGTGATCTGATACAAATGACTGAGCTTTAATAGGTCTCCCTAGGTGTAGGCAAAGACAGTGTTTGTAAAGACAGCAAAACTGCGTAAGGCTTCTAGGTAGTGCTAATCCTGTGCCTACTGTTACAAGGTATGCCTTCTTTCCTGCCGATTCAGACAGTGCATTTAACCTAACAGGCTTGGATGTTGTCCTAAATACTGCAGCAGAATGCCCACAAGGCATTATGTTCTGTATGGAAGTCTGCAGAACTGGTCCCCCACCTTTTCTCTATTTCACCTGTATACAACCAATTGTATGTGAGCTCATGATAGAATGGCAAGAGTGTTTTGGTAAGGAAGAGATTTAGCTCTGAGTTTCTTATTATAGAAAACAACAGGGAGGGAAGAGAGACACTTGTTTAAAAACTGGAAAGTATCTTATTTCTTTGTTGTACCCTTTAATCTTCTTATTTTATTTAAAACCACTTCAACAGCTGCAGCTCCTGCTTAATTTGGAGAACAAAACCCTAGTAGTTCAACTGTCTGGGGATACTTGAGGCCACAAGTAGAAGGGAAACCCACACTGAGGGCAAGTCCTTTCTTCTTCTAAATGCACAACTTATTGTGTGTGTTATTTTTAGTGCAGTAATCTCACTGAGTGCTGCTGAGAGAAACTGTGCCAGACAGGCTTTGAAGGGCTTGAGAAATGGGATTTCCTGTTCCACCGGCTCAGAGCTGACTCTTCCCATTGTCAGGAGCTATTATCGCCTTCTCACAGCCAAAGTAGATAACACAGCTTCAAGGTCAGGAAAGACAAGCTTTCATCAACAGCATTAGCAGAAGGAAGAATTTGCTTGCAGTCAGAGTGGATGTTTCTAGCTGGTGTAGCCAGGGACGTCTGCCTGGGCAGAGAGGTCTGTGCATGGATCACAGAACCACACAGCAACTGAGGCTGGAAGGGACCTGCTCAGAACAGGCTGCTTGTTGCTCTGTCCAGTTGAGTTCTCAGTGTCTCCAAGGTGGACACTACACAACCTCTCTGTACAGCCTGTTCCAGAAACAGTCGCTGGAGAGAGAAGAAGAATTTATTTCTCTGCTCCTCAGCTTCTTGCTGACCTGCTCTTTGTTGCACCTTTTGTGCTTCTGCTGAGTGTTCTCTCTTGTGTGAACATACCTGGGTCTCAAGGCAGTACTGGTCCAGCCCTGGCAATACAGCAACGTTTCTCTCCATGCTGTCGAGAATGGAAGGAAAACAGGTTGGTCTAGGGAAGTAGCAAGCCTTGGTATAGGAAACACTTTTAGGTTCTAGGAAGAACTGTTGGAAAAAGCAGCTATGTTTACTGTAAGGTCTCATATACTCTTGAAAAGTGTTCACATTGAGACAGGGGCTTCAAATCGCAGTGTCTGTTCTGGATGGTTCCTCTGTGAGGCATTCTTCTTCTTAAAGTAAAATCGGGTTTTAGATTTGATCAGGTTTCCTGATCTAAACTCTTGTGCATAAATGCAGTGTAGGAAGTTATTTCTCTCTGCCCAAGAGCCTTCAGTTTTAGCAGCAAGTTGCACGACAAGAGCAGAAATGGGCGTGGAGTAGGTAGAACTTGTGTTTACAGAAGAGTTTAAGAAAAGGCCTTGGGACTAAACTCTGGTCCCCATCTACTCAGCTTTAGTCCAGTGTTTTGGTGGACTGTGATATCTATCTGCAGCAGGGCCTCTATGCAGAGGTGGAACGAGTAGGGTGGTGGGAAGAGGGCTGTGCTGGGACTGTGGTGTCCTGTCTTTGGCTTTTACCGGCTGGGTGGCAGTGGGCAGCTCTCCTTTCTTACCATTGCAGAGATAAAGAAACTGTGGAAGGCAGTAGCACCTCCTTTTCAAAGAACTTTGAGGATGACTGTTAAATGTGTGGTATAAGAACTAGATAATTTCCTTAGATGACTACTGGTTTACTGCAGTTGAGCAGAATCTGGGCATTGAACAGGAAACTCTTTTGTCTGAAACACAGCCAGTTTGCTGTGGATCCTTGAAGTTGCTGGCTCCTGATA